GACAAGTTATTAATTAGATTATAGAAATCTTATCTGGATCATAGTTTAAAGCTGTAAGACCCACCAGTTTGGTCCTCATACTCATATACCTTATAAGATATGTTGTTTAGGGAGGAAGATACATTTAAGAAGGTGCAGTATAGGAAAGGGAAGAGGGTCTGCTGAAGGTGCAGGAAGAAGAGGAGGAGCAGGGCAGGAGGAAGTCAAGGTTCAGGGGCCAAGAGGGTAGCCAAGCAGAGTTAGGTCATGAGAGAGACAAGAGAGGTGAATTTTGGATTTTAGATCCACCAAGTTTTTATTAGTCCTATCTAAGCTACCCTTATGGGGAGAAATTTTTTTAAACCTTCTGTCTTTTATAGTTTTCCTGTCTTCTAGAGGTCTCTTTATATCAAAACAAACACACAAAAAACTAACTTGGTATTTAGAATATTTGAATCGTTTGATCCTAAGGCACCAGGCAAAAGGTTATCTTATTCTTATCCCAGGTTTCTGAGAATATCACATGAAGGAGAACGTGGGTAAAACTACATTAGTGAAATTCAGTGTCCACCATTGCCCAAAAAAGTACTAATATGCTGACTGAAATATAGTATTTTTTACCTCCTCTCACTTAATTGACCTTCCCCTCAGAAGTATTTTGTTTGGTTAAATAAATATAGTTTGGTTAAGGAAATTATACTCATGGGATAAATATAAATTTATCAATATTTGGTTTCTGACTCCACCCCACTTTCAACAAAATTAACACTAAACATAAAAGCATTCGTAAGCATTTTTTTCCTGTAATGCCGCATAATCCATGTCACCAGACCCAGTGTGCTCATTTATTAGAGAGGAAATAGGCAACATAGATTTACCTCTAAATTGGCATGTGTGTATGTGAGCAGACACATGTTTATCCATCTTTAACACAAAAATTTGGGAGTTGGATTGAGATTTCACAACTTCCACATGACATTATTCTTTCTAGTAATTCTGTCAATCAGTTGGCATCTGCAAGAAGATTGTGATAAAACTTAGCATATTTTTGTGAGTCATAGCATATTTTTTTAACTGATGCAATGATTGTTATTGCCCTAAATTGACAGGTGAAGTATGCTGTCCAGATGAACAGCACAATCGGGTTTCCATTGGCATAGGCAACTCCTGCTGTGGCAGAATGCCGTACTCCACCTCAGGAAACCAGATTTGCTGTGCTGGGAGGCTTCATGATGGCCACGGCCAACAGTGCTGTGGCGGACAGATTGTGAGCAAAGATTTAGAGTGCTGCGGTGGAGAAGAAGGTGTGGTGTACAGTCGCCTTCCAGGTAAGGGACCCTGGTCTACCTTCGAGTAGATGGAGAATCTGAGAATCAGAGAGGGTGAGAAATTTGCCCTAAAAATAAAATAAGTAATTAAAGCTAACATTAATTATATGTAATGCAATAATTAGGAACATACTATGTAACAAATGAAAATGTAATCTCTCATTTTATATATACCTAATGTATTTCATAAAAACACATTACAATTCTTTCCTCTTAAAAAGTGTCATGTCCACAAAAAAAAAAAAATCCCACACATGAATGTATTGGTTCTGGATCAAAATAATATTTCCTAGCTGGTATAAATAGCATACAAAACTATTGTGATGATATTGTGTTATATTTCTTTTACTCCAGTACTCTTCTGTACTTAGAAAGCTAATACTAATAGCAATCATTATTGAATGAACACTGTCACCTAATGTTTTATACATTATTACTTCAATTAATCTTT